TCTTTAGTATTTACAGGGTACATCTTTAATTTTTTTTAGTTTTTTTAATTTATTTTGAGAGAAAAAGCACAAGTCAGGAAGGAGGAGAGAGAGGAGTGAGAGAGAATCCCAAGCAAGCTCTGCATTGTCAGTGCAGAGCCTGATGTGGGGCTTGAACCCAAGAACTATGAGATCATGAACTGAACCGAAGTCAGATGCTTAACTGACTGAGCCACACAGGTGCCCCTACAGTGTACTTTTTAAAATGTATCACAATCTACCATCAACTAATATCACACAACTTCATGCATTTTATGAGGACTTACAACACCATACTTCTATTCCCCTCAACCAATTTTGTACCATTGTCATGCATCTTACTTTTACATATGCTGTAAAGTTTTTTAATCCCCACAAAACATTTTTACAATTTTGGATGTTTTCATTCCTTTGTGTATATCAAAATTTGTCAGCTTTGGTAAAAATTTATTTTGCTCTTATTCTTCAAAGATATTTTTGGCATATACAAATTCTAGGTTGATAGATATTTTCCCCAGCCATTATTTCTTAAAATTCTTTTTCTGTTACCACTCCCTCTCCTCTCCTTCTGGATCTCCAATTACATGCATTAGGCCACTTTATATGGCTTCCCAGCTAACGGATGCTCTGTTCATTTCTTCAATCTTTTTTCTTTCCATTTCTCATTTGAGGCAATTTCTTATTGCTATGTTCTAAAATATAATAATCTTTACTTCTGCAGTGTCTCATCAGTTTATCGCACCTAGTATAGTTTTCATTTCTCAAGAATTTCGATTTGGGTTTTTAAAATTTTATATCCACTTTTTCCTTATTATGGTTATGTTTTCCTCTACTTTTCTGTACATAAAGACTATAATAGTTTTATTACCAAACTTGTCTACCAGTTCTATCATTGCTTTTATTTCTAGTTCAGTTTCTATTTTTTTCTAGTTAAGGGTCATAATTTTCTGCTTCTTTACATGATTGATCATTTTTTGTTGGATGCTAGACATTGTCACTTTTCCATTGTTGGTTACTGGATTTTGTTGTATTCCTTTAGTGATGGATTAGGTTCAGTCATGCAGTTGAGTTACCGGGAATCAGTTTGATTTTAAGATTGAAAAAAAAATTTTTTTTAACGTTTTGAGAGAGCACATGCAGAAGTGGGTGGAGGGACAAAAGAAAGGGAGAGAATCCCACGCAGGCTCCACAACCAGCACAGAACCCAACGTGAGGCTCAATCCCATGATCCGTGGATCATGACCTGAGACAATCAAGACTCAGACACCCAATTGACTGAGCCACCCAAGGGCCCCACAGGACAAATGTATCTGACCAAAGGACTTATATGCAGAATATATAAAGAATTCCTACAAACCAGTAACAGAGACAACCCAATAAAACATGAGCAAAAACACTTGAGGACATTTCACAAAATATGTATAGGTCAAAAGGCATATGGAAAGTAATGTTCAACTCGCTGGTCATCATTGAACTGCAGATTAAAGACACAAGGTACCACCACACACCCACCAAAATTGCTAAAACTGGAGACTGACAACCTAATATTGATGAAGATTCAGAACAATTGGGTCTCTCAGAGGCAGGGGTATAAAACAGTACAATCACTTTTGAGAACTGTTGGTGTCTAATAACATTAAACATACAACTATTCTCTATAACCTAACAATCCAAGGTATGTACCCAAGAATGAAAGAATTATGTCTACAAAAATATTTTCATGTTCACAATTTTATTTACAGCAGCCCCTGAATTGGAAACAATCCAAATGTCTACCAACAAGAGAACGAATAAACAAGTTTGTACAATATACTACTACTCATTAAGAAAATGGAACAGATTACTGGTATATGCAACATGGATGATTTTCAAAACCTTATGTTGAGAGAAAGGCGGCAGACACAAGAAAGTACTATATACTGTTTGATTCCATTTATATGAAGTTCAAGAACAGGTATAAGCAATATATGGTGATGGGAAGTACAGTGATTGCTTCTGGGGTAGGGAGCCACTGACTCAAAAGGCGCACAGGGGAACTTCTGTGGTGATGGAAAGAAGCTGGAAATAATCCCAATTTGGGCAATGGTAACAAGACTGTATACATTTGTCAGGATTTCTCAAAACACACTGCCTAATTAAGATCTGTTGTTTTTTTTTTTAAACTGGATTTAAGTCAGTTTAAAAACAAAAGCAGAAGAAACGTACTGATAATGATCTCTCAAGCTGAGTGATGGGCACACAAGGATGCTCTTTAGTCTGTAAACATATGCTACATATGCCTAATTTTGTGTATTAATAGCAGAGTTTTCTTTACAAGTGGAGAAAAAGGTGGCCACCTAAGAGCTTTTTATCTAGGACTACTCAGATATTTTGATATAGCACATAGCTTTTTTTTAAGGCATTGAAAAAGTCATCAATAGAGTTAAATGCGTTTCATAAATAATCTTAAATTCTGTGTAACTAACCCATCTAATAAAACGGAGTCCTCTTGCAACGAAGACTGTGTTTACTTTTAAGTAAATAATTTTCTATGCTATCTTCTCTTACGGAGATATGCACACGGATAAAAATTTACATTATTTGCAGATACTGTGTAGTATTTAACATTTAATCACTGGAAAAAATCCACCTCTCTAGATGCACTTTTCAGTTTTTATGCTAATACTTGTAATTCTAGGGTTCCTTTTTTTTTTTTTTTTGCTATTTTGATGAAGAGAATTATTTAAATTGTATTTGCCTCAGTTTGTCCTATGAACTCCGGTTTTACTGACTGGAAATATTTTTGGAAACTACTACTGTAGAGGCTTTGTAACTCCATTTTAGGTACAATGGGAATTACAGTGTCAAAGAACCACCAAGAAAATGAATCCACAAGATATTTAGTCTATTAAACTTCACACAAGCTTTTCCAAAGATGACTATCTGTTTATTTGCCTTAAATATCTGAGGACTTTTTAAAAAATCATGAAAATACCCTCTTTAAAAGAGTAAAAGATAAGACTATTTCATGAGTTTTGAAGTCAGTTTCCTATTATAAAACATTTTGGAGTTTTGTGTCAGAGATAGAATAAAAAATATTGCTAACTTTCTGGATAACTAAGGACAATATATATTTAGCACTGCACTCAATTTCTAGAATAAACGTATAATTTATAATTCTTAAGTCAATTAAAATGAGCCACATGGGGCTTTCCTTGAGATTTTTGTGGTTATGACGTTTGCAGCATATCTAACATTTAAAATTCATTTTTGAGACATGACTACTGAATAGACATGAACTATTCTTCCAAGCCTGTTTCCCCAAAATGAGTATTTCTGCATTTTTGCTACTGTCCAGGTAAACACTGGTGTTTGGCTTAGAGTCACATGGGAATGGAAAGTAAAAAACATTTAGCACACATTTCACTCTTAATTTTTCTATAAAAATATAACTCTTTATTAAATAACATGCACAAATATCAACTAGTCATTTATTAAACAGATATGATTTAGAACAAGATTTAAAGAAATACAAATCCTTAGGTACAATTTAGTATCTTGTTCATGATATTGAATAGTTAAAAAAAAATCACTGATTAAACTAACCATCCTTTATTTCTCTTTCAGAATCCTAAATCTTTTTAGGTATATACCCCAAGTTTTTTTCTAGCATTTCAGAGCTTCAGAAAAATCTTTAATATCAAAGCTCTTAACTACTCAGGTATAAATTTCCACCAAGAAGACATTCACTTTTCTTTTAAGCTATATCCGATTAGCTTTGAGTCACTTTACAAAGGAAACCTGCAGAAGGAGAATCATGGCAGAGAGGCTCCAGCAACTTGAGGTACCATGGAAGAGGGTGAGAACTGGAGTTAGTACTTAAAAAGCTGGGACAACTAAAATATGCCAGATTCCTGCTTTCTTGCTTTTTCTCTACTGCAGCTTGTTCTGTTTGGCCGAGTGGTGATTTTTCTCCCCCTTTTCCAGGTGGACCTTCAGAACAAAATACATTTATCCCTCTCATATTTTCTATGACTTCAATGCTCAATAATCTGGTTTTTTATTTTTAGGCAAAAGTACAAACAAAATTTGCATTACGTTTTTCATATTAAAAAGTATTGCTTTTATAAATTAGCTTTTAATGTTCCCAGCCTTAATAAACTTAACTTCAACAAAACCAGTGCTTCAAAATCTACCCTGCCTTTCTTGGCCCCATTTATCCAATAAAAAAAGGCCCAAATCTCTCATCTAAATTTCTAAAGAACACTACATCCAACTTTTATAATAAAGTCCTTGCACTGTGTACTTTTTACACGTGCTGCTTTATTGCGCATGCCAAGTACAGTATGAATTAAAATATAAATTGACGTAAAAATTCAAAAACCTCTAAGCTTAATATATACCTTTGCACTCAAATACTTCAATTCTTACATTCTCTCCCGTTAGCTGGGATTTCCAACTTGCATGCTGAGTTTAAGTCACTTTATTCCTCATATATTCTTTTTACTTTTCTCTATCAGAGTAAAAAACATCCAGTACTATTTTATAATTCAAGAAAGTACTGTGGAAAGTTTTGTAAATTTTACCTCATACACTTATGTTCACTTTTACATTTAACCTAATTTTCCTTTCAAAAATGTTTAAGAAGTTTAGATTTCAGAGCTGAAATATTCCTGAATATTTAATCTACCTCATTGTATAGGAGACACTGGACTTTTTCTAAGTATATTGCTAATTATTTTATTAAAAACAGCATACCAAATCTTAATTATAAAATTCTGAAAATTATGTTTTGCATCTTGATACAAGGAAAAAAATACAACATATTAATCAATTTTTCATAAACATTGCAGAGATTGATCGGAATATGCCTGTTTCTTGTACTTATTTTGACTAGCAAGTATCTCTTTTTTGATTTGAGTACTCTGTTTTTATTTTAAAAGTGCAAAGGTTATTAAGCTTAAAACCTTATATTTAAGCAATGTAAAAAAGTTTTACAATGATTTAACATGACCAATAAAATTTATTAAACATATTTACATATATTCACAGATTCTTTCATACTTGAGTATTAAAATAGACATTTACAATTTCAGAATTTTCATTCAAAGGCATTTTGGGAGAGGGGAATAGGTTCTACTGTGAGATGAAAAAAGAGCTGTTTCTTTGTATGACTAATTCTAAATAATATGTCCAACATAGTGAGTCATAGGTACTATCCCAGGAGACTGGCATGAAAACACCCTACGCTACTTTAGGCATCGCTTATGAAGAGAGTTAAATTATAGGAAGCATGCAGAACAACTAAGTCACAACCTTTACAGTTATGGTGATGAAAACAAGCTAACTCAAACACACGCATGCCTTATTTAAAAGTTTTGCTACGTGAACACACTACTACTACACTCCATACAAACTACAACTTTGGTCCAATAAAACATCAGACAAAACAGTTTTACAATTATTTCTTTGTACATGTTTTGACTACCAATCCCTTTGTATACATTTTGACCATTAATTACAAGATTTACATCTGCACAATATGTATAAAATAAGTTATTAAAAAGGAAGACAATATTAAAACTTTTGAAAAGAAAGCTGTACAATTAATTTACAGATAAAATAAACTGAAGAAATTTTGTGCCACGTTTTTCTTCCACATTAGAAACTATTTGGTAGGAACTGAACCTTTTAGTTCACCGGTACATTTTAATAAAACTTGAAAGAGATGTGAATACTAGTGGTTACCTTGTTACTTAGGAGTGCTAACAACTTCCAGTGCTGTCAGCAGATTCTCAACTTTTAAAGTATCTCCCACAGTCGGCCAACATGCTCTAATGCAATAGTTACCTCTCACCAATATAAATAATAGATTTCAGTTAGAAACTATTTGGATCTGGGATCCAAAATAATTCTTTTCATTGTTTATTAAATGACAGTGTTTACTACATAACCAACTTTAGTCAAACTTTACTAAACAACTGTAAAGGCAGAATATCAGTATTTTTTCAAAAGGCAGTGTTCCACAGTTTAATACTCTTGAGCCACATCAGTTTAAGACGACACCACCGGAAGTAACGGCTGCTATATAGGAGTCAATTCAAAATCGTCATTAACATCAACGAGGGGAACATAAAACTCCTGGATCTCATAAATGCTGATAGATTTATAGGTGGCAGGATCAAGTTCCTGGAGTTTGAGCTGCCATTCTAATCTCTGGACGGCATTTAAAGCTGCAGCTTCATGTTGTTGCCTCATTAAAAGACAGGTCTATTGGAAAGAAGAGAAGAGTTAATAGATTACTCTGTTAAATATGCTTTGTTTAAAAATTAGTATCATCCATAGATTCTTTAGGGATTTTTTTGATACACACCCATTTCTGCTTTATCTGGTCTATATCTATATGCTATTTCTGAGTCTGCAACTTCACAACTGTCTTACCTCACAGACTTTAACTTGAAACTGCTCTTTCAAATAGTGAGATTTCAAATTATCAAAACAAATAATTTTCTTTATGAATTACTTTGCAGAATGTTCTCTTTTCCTTATTGCTCTCCCATTCTTTCACATGTTAGAACTAAAGCCAGACTTGTGTTTTGGATAGTAAGCATGAAGATGCCCATTAGAAGCTGCTTCTGTGACAGTTTCACCTTTTACTACACTGGTCCTGAAAAATGGACATATGGTCTTTATTTTCTTTTACCTCCTGACTGTAGCTGGGGTGAGGACGCCTCTTTGCTATCTCCTTTCCCTAGTCACTCCTAACAGAGCTCTGCAATTTCTGTTTAACAGGGAAGCATCCATTTAAACTGAATTTCTAAACATACATACCTTTAATTTGTCAAACTTATCATCCACATCTTGTAACCAAGACATGAACTGTCTTGCATTAAAACGATCCCTCACAGATGTTTTACTGTCATCAGACTGAAAAAGAACGTTAAGAAGTTAATACTACCCAATAACCCACTTTAAAACCTATACGCCATCCCACTGTTCTATGGTGTGATAGAATGACGGACGGAATGATGGAAACAGATTTTGAAAAATGATAATCTTATATTTTGGATATTTAAGAAACTTGATAAAGCATTTAGTTCTATATTGAATAGACAGATTATTAGAATTTCTAGGATGCTGAGTTTAGTTATTAAATAGAATCCTACTGCTTTGTGAGTCAAAGATGGTTCTCAAAAAGGCATGTCATATTAAGTATTACACCTATGACATTCTTATTAAAGTATAATTAACTTATTTCCTTTTAATGTTAACATTTACCGTATGTAGGGAGAAAGTGTTAAGGTGGGAGGCAGGATTTTGAGGCCAACATTTTTTCCAGGACCAATATTTTGGAGTGATCATAAAGAAATTCTGGATCAACTCTTAAGAACACCAGTTTTGGAATTAAGATAGGCCATATTCAAATGTCAGCTTTGTGTCTTACTGTGTGATCTTGAACAAATTACGTACTCTCAATTTTCTATTCTGTAAAATGGAAGGAGTATCTTTTAACATTTTAAGAAATGTTTACTTATTATGAGAGTGTGTGTGCACAAGTAGGGGAGGGGTAAAGACAGAGGTAAAGAGAGAATCCCAAGTAGGCTCTGAACTAACAGCAGACATGGGGCTTGATCCCATGAGATAATGACCTGAGCTGAAAACAAGAGTCAGATGCTTAACTGAATGAGCTACACACAGGCACCTCAAAATGCCTACCTCTTTTAATCTTGTTTTGACAAGATTAAGAGTCTCTGAAGTCCTCACCAGAATGCTTGGGCATACAGGCAGCACTCACTCTACTAAATATCTGCAGTAATTACTACTATTGCTATTATCACCACCAGTGCCATCCAAGTGCCATGCAGGCATCAGGTGGATGCTCACATTTTCAGCCACTATCCCTTCCTCCTAGATCCTTCATAAGATTTTTGTGTATTTAAAATTTTATTGTTCAACTTTTTTATTTTTTAAAAGATTTTAAGTAATCTCTCCACTCATCATGGGGCTTGAACTCACAATCCCAGGATCAAGAGTTGCATCCTCTACTGACTGAGTCAGCCAGGCCACCCCTATTATTGAATCTTTTTTTTTTTTCCTTACAAATAGTTTATTGTCAGGTTGGTTTCCATATAACACCCAGTGCTCATCCCCACAAGTGCCCTCCTCCATGCCCATCTCCCTCTCCCCCCCACACCCATCAGTCCTCAGTTTGTTTCTCAGCATTCAAGAGTCTCTCATGGTTTGCCTCTCTCCCTTTCCCCCACCATTTCCCCCTTCTTCTCCCCCATGGTCCTCCGTTAAGTTCCTCCTAATCCTCCTATACGTGCAAACATATGATATTTGTCCTTCTCTGCCTGACTTATTTCGCTCAGCATCACCACCTCAAGGTCCATCCATGTTGCTACACATGGCCAGATTTCATTGTTTCTCGTTGCCATGTAGTATTCCATGGTATAGATAAACCACATCTTCTTGATCCATTCGTCCGTTGATGGACACTTAGGCTCTTTCCATGTTTTAGCTATTGTTGAGAGTGCTGCTATGAACATTGGGGTACATGTGCTCC